CAACTTCATCCCCTTTGTTCCAGCTTTTTGAAATAAACAGCATTTGTCATTTCCCGGAACAAATATAATGTACAGCACTACTTTTGGCTCTTTTGAATCATAGTTAAAAGTGTTATGTCAGTCACCTGCTTCTACGTCTTCATTAAATTAGACGAGTTTCACAAACAGTATAAGACTTGTTTTGTGGATATTCATTGAATAAAACCAGAGCGTGGCACAAAAACAAGTGCAGCAAACCTCACAGTAAGGACGTCTAAACTTGTGCATGTTTTGAGCGCTGACTCATCTGTGGTGCAATTCCAAACTTTGACTCATCCTTTTCTCCATCAGATTATCACTTCATTTGAGTGAGATCCACAGGTCAGAACACGAGTTGTTTGTGTCAAGTGACCAATTGTATCTGACCTCCCATAATGCACTCTGGGTGACGAGAGTTTGATGCACATAATGAGTAAAGGGCACATGAACATGTCGATGTTGTTCAAAGGAGATTCTTGTACAACTTATGATAATGTCAGAAAGTCAATGCAAATGTTGAACACAGTTGGCTTGAAAGACTTTGAAAGAAATGTTGATTCTCCAAAAGCAAATAAAACAGGGTGGAACAGTCCTATGTTCCCTCTCGTGCTGTGCTCGTGGAGTTGGAGTTACCCATCGAGATCAGACAGGCTCAGTCTCTGCCCTTTTTTAAGTCCCTTCTTAAAACTCATATTTTTTCACTTGCTTTTGATAATGTTTGATTTTAGGTAATATTGTTTCATATGTATTTTTAGTCTATGTGTTTGTTTTTTGTGTACAGCACTTTGGCTGAACTGTAAAGTTTTTTTTTTTAAAGTGCTTTATAAATAAATCTGGTATGGTATGGTAACTGTCGGTGGTAGAAAAATAAATAAATAAATAAATAAATTTGTCTAAAACTATCCTCTTAAAACCTTTGTTTGGATTATATTTTTCAAGATTGAAATTTTATCTAACTTTAATCTGACTTTTATTCTTGCTTTTGGTTTTATGCGTTATTATATATTGTGTTGTTTAATCAAGTTTGCTGTCTGTTTTCTGTATGTAAGGTACCACACAATAATAAATATTATATCATCATTTTAATTATACTTATTTTAAACGTTAAAACACATACAAACTTACACACACACACTCAGAAATAAATTGTCAGATTTAAATGATAAAGTCAAGGAACAATAAGAAAGTTACATTGTTACATTAATTTTATTAATTAAACTTCTGAGAGTGCATATGAACACACATAAATATTGTAGTTTGTAAAATTCATTATAACCTGGTGCATTGACCAAATTATGTTATATTAAGACTGATTATTCAAAAATCAAATCGAATTTTATCTATAGAGTCCTTTACAATACTCAAGACGACCAAAGTGCTGTACAATAAAATCCCATACAATCCATCAAAACATTCATGCAATCAAAAAAATCCATTGAGAGATTTCCATCAAAGCTCTGGTCACATGTTGTTGGCGTCAAGTCCAGTCATGAGTAACAGTGAGTGTGAGTGAGTGGGCGCCGCGTGAAAGAAAAGTGTCATTCTTCTTATTTTAAAGTCGCATGAACACTGACTTTATACTGATACTAGACCAAGCAAGTGATGGGAATAATTTAACCAGTAAGCCTGCCTTGCCTTAACACAAGAACTTTGTTTTGGAGGTGTAATTAAGATTAGACTATTTTTTTATTGTATTTCAGTTTTAATGACCTGTTTTCACACGAGTAAGTGAGTAAATGTAAAAACTATATAAATTCCATGTGTACTAATGCTGAGGGGAGTGAATTTTTTTGGTCCACTCTAGTTTTTTTCACAATTTTCTTGTGGGCGGGACCACTCGCTGCAATTTTGGATAGCTCCAGTAGAGCACTATTTTTCCCCATTCCTTTGAACGGCGGAGAAATGCGTGACTACGTCCGTAATTTTATACAGTCTATGGTCACAAGAGGGAGAGTGGGTGGCAAACGTGAAATTGGCCTTTTCTGTTCAGCCCTTTTAGGTTTTAGAAAATCCGATAACTCAGGTGCTCGTACTCGCGTGAAACAGGAAGAGGTTGAAAGGGGGGTAAACGCATCCCATTGGTTTATTATTATCAGTCTGCTCTAAAATATTTTTCATGATTTTTTGTAGACTATACATGTAGGTGTCTGGTCAATTCCAGTACTATTTGAAAACACATGATAACTTGACGACTTTGAGGGTTTAGGGACGTTTTCCCACAATATCTAGAGAAATGTGTCTGGAAAAAATCACTGACTACATCTTTAGCACTTTTTCCACCAGAGAATATCAGGTACTAGTTACCATAGCAACACACACCGTCAGAGGTTAGCATTAGCCTTTTTTGCTGTATTTCAGTTATAATCACCAGTGCTCAAAACAGTTTGGTACTATAAATAGTTGTCACATGCATGTATTTTTGGCCTCCGTCACATCTTTGGATCAGCTTTTTCAGACATAAAAGTGAAAAAGAGAGGACTGCCTTTGCTCAACCAAACATCTCTCGGCCCAAAGTGTCAAAAAAATGAGATAAAATGAGATAGATTATGGTCTGATTTGTTCACTTTGACATGCCTATTTCATCTTGTTGTAAAAGTATTATTGATGAAAGACAAAAAAGTGAGGGACCCCAGCTTTAAGAGAAGCAATAACAGCATTTGGATAGCTGCGTTCCTCACACACATCTTGAAATAAACCGAGGAGAGAGTGTTTTTCGACCCATCTCTAAGTCAAACTATTGTCCCAAAGAAGGTTCCAGTCTCATAATTGTCCCATTGTCGTCTCAATCTTTTGTTTTCTAATTTCCACACATGTTTTCCTGTAAAAGTTACGAGCGGGAAATCACATGACATCACAGGCAGCAGAAGCCCCCTCCTCCCTCACCCCCTCACCCCTTCCCTCCCTCCACTCTCGTCACATAAACAAGAGGACTGCAGCTCATTTCGGCTCAAACCACTAAAAACACATGACGTCGCCAGCACCAGGCGCAGGAAGAATGTAAACATTGAGACGAGAAAACTGTTATTTCAGAAACAGAAAACTTAGTGGGCAAGTTGTGCTTTTGCTTTTTATACCAAACAAATTCCTCTCGGTGATAAGAGCAGAGATGAAGAGAGAAAAAAACGTTTTACCTGACAACGAGTCTCCCCAAGTTTCAAGAAAGGCGTGATCAATATTGAAACCGGAACCAAAAATACTAGTGTATAAAGTAACCATAGACTGCATACATGGACAATGCTAACCCACGAACTCAATGAAGCCTAATAGGGAAGTGCTCATGGACAAAGTTTTGCTTCAATTCGCTCTGGCTCCTATTGACTCACATTGAAAAGTAAACATCTCTAGCTCAGTAACCGTTTGTGTCACACTTTTTGGGCTTCAAACATCCATGATTTAGTGCTCTCTGTGATCCTGGTGTTTAGATTTGTATATAGTCTTTGTAAATCCATATATGAGCCGTTTAAGGATTAATCAGATTTGTGGATTCTCTACAGCATGCCTTAGCAACTGTCTTGGCAACATGTCTGTCTCTGTTATCACGTAAAGCTAATGCAATGGAAAGAAATGCCCAAATAAGGAAAAAGGCTCCAGCTCACTTATATTCAAATTGGCCTCTACCACACTTTAGCACTTGGTCAGTCCACTTCTTGAATACGGAGTGGACTGAAGAGATTTTTGACCATTAGAACCTGTAGTATGGTGTACAGTAAATTCAGTATTTTACAAAACCATATTTGAAGGAAAAATATTATGGAAAATCAACTTTTTTGAGCTCATAACCATTTTATAACATTGTTCCCTCATTGCGTCGTTTTCAGATCCATCCAAGCTAATAATAGGAACTTCTGCTCCTTTTGTCTAAAAGCTCCCAGCAAGATTCTATGTAGTGTTTTAGTGTTAATTAAAGCAATTCAATATGTCATGTATTTTGTTCAGAAATGATGACATACTAAAAACATACTAAACATACTAAAAAGAGCCTGAATAGTACAAAGAAACAAACAAATAGATACATAATACTATATATCAACTTTGAGGTGACCATCAAACCAAACGGGAGCAACCATTTGGCATCAAAATACTTGTTTAGTTTTGCTCATCATTTGGATTTTGGATTATGGATTCTGATCATATGTATTTTCAGGTGTGTTGCATAGAAGAGAAATGCTTGTAGATACTCCTTATTAGTTGCAAGGACCTGAGTCAACAAAACCGAGTCAAAGGTACAGGTACTGTCAATGCCCATTATTTGTAGATACTTTGTCTAATTCATTCAGTTTTGTTTTGTAAGTAAATAAGTTCTTGTGAATAAGATATTGTTTATATAGCGTCATTCACTCAGTGATGACAGAAACCAGACGGCGAACACCTCTCTCATTACATTCAGACCTACTGTGCGTATATTTTTAGTGGGAAACTGGAGCACCTGGAAGAAACCTACGGGAGAACATTCAAACTCCACACAGAAAGGTCTGGATGTGGACTCAAACCCAAGAAGGTCCTGGATTCTGGGTTTTCGACTTCACCCGCAGACCTTCTTGTTGTGAAACTGTGACAAAAATAATGTTGTATGTAGCATATTTGGGAACTGCTGTAAGGAGGTGGGGGATATGCATTTTTTTTGGCATTTTTTCATATATTTTTTTCATCATTCAAGCTTTAGAATGTGAAATAACATGTTAAGTAGACAAAATATGTATTGAAGCAAATATCAACCTTTAAAATGTGTTTGTTTTTTCCAAAATTTTAAAATTACCAGTTGCAACCACAGTCATGTGATTTCTATTTTATTTGCCAGGAGTTCTTGATATTGACATTCATGAATCTAAGAAACAAATGATGAGGGGACAGTGTTGTAACAAGCTGCTTGAGATGTCTGAATAATACTGCTTTTATTTGTAAATGAACCCATTTTTTTTCTGTCTCCCCGTCTGTTCCCAGAATCCTGTAAACAAAAGTTACGTAAAGCCTATTGTACTCACCGTGATTCTCTCCCCTGCCTGCTTCTCCAAGTCCACTCTCGCAGGGTGTCAAATTTCTTCCAACTTCCCTCTTGACCCTGTCTCTGTCTCTCCATCCCTCTCTCTTTCTCTTCTAGACCATACTGGAGCTTTCCCGCACTCGCCCCATATTGGAAAGGGGGGTCCGGGCAGGTTTGACTGGGGGCTGGTACTTTCCACATCTCCCGTTCTGCGGATACGGAGGGGGTTTTTGCGTCCTGCTTTCTATAATGACTTTCGGGTCCAGCGAATGCGGGTGGGGCGTCTCTTGCGCTGAAATGGTATGTCCCGTGTGGTTGCCATTATGAAGCTGAGGCGGGTGACCGTTTTTTAATCCGTTCTGCTTCACCGATGGGACGATCCGGTTTGTTTTGACCACAGACGCCTTGTGTATGGGCGATGGAGACTTTGTGCGTAAAATAATGTGTTCTTCGTCTACATACCGGGCTGTTTGAGGTCTGTGGTTTCCAAGAGAAACCACTCGCAAGTCTTCAGAAAAGTCCAAGCAATTACTATTACTTTCAGGGCCTTGGGTGATGCCGGCTGTCTCCTCGCTGAGGTCAATATTGGCAGTCAGACGATCTATTTGCTCCACCACCTGAATAACAAAAGAAAACAATCCATTCTTATTCACCTTGTGGCAAAAAGAGAAGCTTCCGTCACACAGTTCGTTATCACACACAGTCACAAAAGCTCACCATGTTGTCAGATAATCGCTCACTTGTTGAGTGCATTATTGGGAGCATTGATTCTGTGTCTAACTGCAAATCAATCAAAGTATAAAAGCAGTTTAGTTAAGCTTATTTAAGGAGGCTTGAAGTCAAGTCTAATGGTATTGCTTATGCTGTAATGTAGAAAACTGCTGTTGTGGAGAGTCTGATTCAGAGGATTGGTTTCACAATCGTTGTCTGCAAATCTGGTGTTCATTATTCTTTATAAACTATTACCTCATTGACCAAAATAGTCACTCTTCAGTCAAGATGGCGTTATATGTTTTTCATATTACTTCATACTACAAGAAGGATTTAACTTGATCATGATATTTTAGGAACAAACTAAACTAAATTAACTAAATTAAAGTGATTTCATTTTATTTTATCTATAGAGATTTTGTTATGCTGTTCTGTAGCTGGTGATACAACACAGAAGTTTCCCCACGCTACTCATCTCTTAATCTTACAATTAACACATGTAATCTTGTCTTTACTGTCTCCTAATTATTGCTATTACTATTATTCATAGTATTATCCTTATTTAGTGGAATTACAGTACATTCACAGTGTGTGTGTGTGTGTGTGTGTGTGTGTGTGTGTGTGTGTGTGTGTGTGTGTGTGTGTGTGTGTGTGTGTGTGTGTGTGTGTGTGTGTGTGTGTGTGATTGAGGGTTTATGTGTGTGTGTTTTTTATGGTTGCTTTTTTATTTTTATTTTTTGTAATGATTTTCTTGTATTTTTGTTTTGTTTGCATCTGTTTTGCTGTATTTGTCACTTTGTGAAATCTTGAGGACCCCCTCGAAAATGAGATGTTTCATCTCAAGGGGCTTATCCTCTAAATAAATAAATATTGAGTATCTATCTACCTATCTAATTGTTTTGGCTCTATGGGATCATTGTTTCAAGTTCATCCTGGACTCAAAACCCTAACCTTTACCCTATTCTTAAGCCTAAACATAACTCTAGTCCTGGTCCTAACCCTAACCATAGTAACCCAAACCCAACCCTAACCTTGTAGTTAAGAGCAGCAGTTGAAGTCGTTGATATTGTATTGTTGTATAATTTGAGTTGTGTTGTGACTTTCTCATTTGTTCGCTCTGCTTTCCGCCAATTTGCCTTTGTATACACCATTGACATAACTGCCTTGCTTAAAGAAGGGCTGCGGCACAATTGGTGAGCCCAGGGTTTTAAAACGTGTCTCTGGATATTTGCCAGAATCCTCCGTTCTCTGCAAAAGGTCACAGCAAATTGTTCCCAAAGAGAGGAGATGATAAACAATAGAGTCAGCCGCAGCAGCAGAAGCAGCACCAGCAGCGCACTCGCACATATACAAAACTAAATGCGAGTCGAAACTAGAATGGACAGTGATAATTATGCACTCGTGACCCGTGTTTGCGCGATCTGCCCACTCCGGTAATGGTTTTAAATGTCACAATAACCCAATGAAAATGTCGACGCATCTGCACCTGCCCTGGACTTTTATGTTAAACAAGGGTTGGACTGAGAAGATACACAACAGATGCACAAAATCACAGGCCACGTAATTACTACGACTCACAGAGATGGACTTCTGTTATATAATTAGCCAACACGTAATTGACTGAATCTATAATTCACTTCAAAATGTTAATCAACAAGTTCAATCAGACAAAAACAAAAAGATCTGTATTGTGCGGGTGCGATATGGCGTTAAACGTGACATTACATACATTGCGAAAAAATTGACTGATTTTGCGTAGTTCCCTCATTCAAAAACAGACCTGTTGTTGTTGTTTTTACATCCATCCAGGCAAAAAATCTGGAACTTCTGGCCAAAACATGAAACCCTGCTCTTTCTGTCTTAATGCTCCAGTATTAGTATGCTGTAACTGAACCTTGAGGACTGTTAAAACAAACTTATTGCACATAAATTGGTTTTGGCAAATTCTTAAGTGAAATGGACGCCCTCTGGTGGTGGCATAGGGAGTTACCGGCAAAATGCTTTTTTTACCCTTTATACTTGTTTTCCATATATTTTCTACTCAAGACATTATTTCACATTGTAAACATAAAATGACAAAGTAAAGTTTCTAATGGCCAATAACAATAATAATAACAAAATTGTATTTATAATGCACCATACATTTCCACGATACCTCAAAGTGCTAATTCAATGAAACAAAAAGAATAAATGAAAATCTATCAAAGTATATCAAATAAACAGAATAATAATAACGTTAAATATTTCTCCTTTAAATCAGTTATAAATTAAAAACAATGGAATTCTTATTTTCAGCAGATGTGACGGGTATGTTTGCCTAGTGTCTAGTCCCCATTGAGATACCTTAGTGTAATGTCACACAGTGGATTAATTTGGAAAGAAAAACTTCAGAGCAGCACATTTGGCTTATTACCTCATCAGAAAATGGTTTGGAGAAAGCCTGACTCTGCAAGATTATTAGAACATGTGCAAATGAAACCAAACACCAGCATTTTTATTATAACTTAGAGGCTATTAAATAAATCATATGGGCCCTTTAACCTATCACTGTTAGACAAGAAAACCATAACACCTCATCTTACTTACAAATTTGGAATGAGGTGATATAAAGTCATAATCGCCAAAATGTCTTTTTGGTAAACCTTTTTCCGTCATTGAGCAATATTCACAGGAAACGGTAGCTGCAACTGGTATGTTGTTGTCTGGGGTTAAGGTGGGACCGGCTCCAGGGCAGATTAAAAATGTCCCATAAAATATAAAGTGTGGCTCTGTTTACTGTATAAGGACTGGACTGAGACGGAGGTGTTGCCAAAAGGGGAAAAAGAAGTCATGAGGAAAAGTAATAAGCGTGTTCATTTATGTTTGTATTCACAGCACAAAGTAGCGTCTGCTTCTGCTTCGGTCACGTGCGATCCAGAAAACTACGCAATGTTTTGAGAAATGTCGCCACCCCCTTATCCAAAACAAAATGACTCATGACGAGGCTAAATGTGTCTGTGTCTGGGGAAGTAGATGTCAACATTACTGCTACTTTACTGGAATGATACAAACTGTGAATTGTGAATGGATTCTTTGGAAAGACAAGTCTTGGCTTTGACCTGCCATGATGATTAGAATAAATTAGGATTTTGGATCTTAGGTAGTTGGATCTTGAACCTCAACTAATTCTGGTTTGAGTCAATTCTATTTAATATTGTTTTGTTGTTGTAATTAGTATAGTGATTATATATGTATTTATTTGACAGGGATTTGAAAGTGGGCATTATATAGTGTAGTATATAGTGTAAATCTCGGCCTGTCTGGTTTTCATTATTGAATGCTGGGAGCTTTCAATCTTCTTCGCAATAATCAGGAGATTGGAAACATATTAGCTGCAAAGAGTTGATTAAGAATATGTTGTTAGATTTGGCTGTGTGTTCCCATTCAAGATTTTTTAATTACTCATTCATTTTAAATAGTTTTGTGGTGTTAGCTGCTTTACTGTCACTGTGCCAGTAGCATAAGTGCCATACATTTCTGTAGCAATAAATTCTGCCTCAAAAGGTAACAGTCCGAGTAATGGCAGGAGTATGCAGTACATCATCAAATCTAAAAGGAGACTTGCAGAGCTTGTCAAAAGAGCGCTTGATTGGTCATTGGAGTTTTGAGTCAGCTTTAGCTCTCAAGTTATTTTCCCTACAGCTAATTAATGTCACAACTGTGTGTGTAAACTAGCATTCTGCTAGGAAAGGTAAATACATCTTTGATTGATGATAGAAGAAAGAGAGAAGTGGTCTCTGCAAATTGGTGTTTGCGCTAAACTAAATTCCAAGACACATGGCCGATCAACAGGCTTGTTTGGATCATAATGCTGATGGAGGTCTGGTGGATAGGACCCGAGACTAAAATCAATAAAAACTCTAAATCAGAATTATGTAGACATCAATAAGAAAACACAGGTTCACCAACAACAGTAAGGAACCACAGTAATAGTAGTCGTAGTCGTAGTCACTGTCGTTGTTGTCATAAGTAAAGAACAGCATCTCACCTCTCTCATCTCCACATGGACTTGCTTGAGGCCTCCCAGAACATCTTGCAGGTTGGTCACCACTTGTCTGATCTGCTCCCTCACAGAGTCTTTCTTCCTCTTTTCTGGCTCCTCCTCTTTCTTCACAATCACACCGTTCGATTTCAAACTTTGCGTCACGCTAGTCGAACTTACGCACGGCCCATTTTTCCTCCTCGCCGGGTTGAAGTGCTTTGACGGGACCTCCGTGGAGAAGAAACCTTTGTAAAATCCCCCATGTCCGTTACAACCTTGCTCTGATCTTTCCGGCTGCGTTCTATCCCATTCCCGATTCATATCTCTTTCCTCCACTCCCTCAAACGCAAAAGTCCCTATCCCACAATGTCCATTTGGTGCATACCCCATTTGTGGGCTGTATTGTGGTTCAAAACTGCTCCTATCTGACATATAGTCTTCATCCTCCATTGACGCATAGCGAACTGTCTTGCATGGCTTGTACCCCTGGCCTTTCACCTGTAGATGGGGTAATTGATGCGGCATCCCAAAATTGAACACCTTTGCATCATCGTGCTCGCATCTGCACTGTTCCCTTCTCGGCGGACAGTGTCTTACATTGCAGTGACAGCGAGGAGGGGCGAATTCATAGGAGCAAACTGGACTTGTGTGGTTGCACGGGGCAGTTCCGATGAAAACAGGCCTCCTTTGCGGACTCCTATGACAACTTCTCTCCAGTCTGCTGCTTCCCATAGTCCTGGTTGGATCTTTGGCCCAGAGATCTGCTCCGTCCTGCCTTGCCTGGTCCAAAGCTGGGTGGTCTGCATGTCTGGAAGTCTGCACTACTCCTCCTCCTCCTCCGTGGTTATGTCCCAAGTAGTCGAAGTGGACGCACCTCTGGCATGCACACGGAGGGGGAAGACCATTTTGAACAAACCTATAGTGTCCCGTTACTTCGGCTGTGTACATATCCAAAGCTTATCGTCTCCTCTTTTGCTTTTGCGAATCTCCAGTTTTGCCCGTGCTGCTGCTGCTGCTGCTGCTCCCCTTGCCATCCGCGTCTTCTGTTTTCCTCATCTGTCTCAAAACTTTTCTCAACCTCACTCGCTTGTTCTCCCTCCCCTTCCCTTCCTCCGAGTCAGCTTCTCATTTCAACTTCCCTAAATGCGTCCATTTTGGCTCCCTCTCAAACTTTATTTCTCTTGTGCGTCTTCTGTGTGCCCTTCTCTTTCTTCAATATTCTCCGCTTTGCTGCTGCAGCCTGAACTCCTCTGCGTCCGTCTGCGCGTTTTCCTGTTTCCAACCCCCTCCTTGTCTCTCTCTCTCTCTCTCTCTGTCTATATACGCACTGCTATTTTCTCCTACATTCTTTCTACCTGATATTCTGCTTTCTTTCTCCGTCCGGAAGCTCCTCCTTGGTGCGACATTGTCTGTACTTGTCGACAAATCTTGCCCAGTCCTCTTCTGTTGCCCGCTTGCCTTGCTTGCTTGCTCTTTGGCTGCTACGACTGGCTCAAATCGCAGCAATTGCTTGGGATTCCTTGGCCAGACGCTGAGAGAGGAATGAGTTTCAAAAAGGGGAGGGTATTTTTGGGGGCTTGAGGGAGGTGGGGTCTGCACACACTTTTCTTTGAAGATTGAGGCTTTTTTTTGACAATCTTTTCACATCCAGCACTCCTGCTACGCCTCCTATCATGTCCTATTTAACATTGTCCCCTGCCGCGGCTTGTCATTGCTTTTATAGCTTTGTCTCGGTTGATTTGAGCTAAGCAGTTAAGAGCAAACTTCCTGGAGACAGCATAATAGCTCGTCTAAGTATAGCCAGCACCTTCTCTCAACGCTTTCAACATGTCGTTTTAATTATAAATCAACTTCAAAGCGTTGCTGTTAATCTTACAAATGAATGGGAGAGCTGAAAGGGAAGGAAGGATGAGCAATGGAGACAAAATAGAGTGATTTAAGAAAACATACAAGGGGATGTGGGTCTTTGTCCACTCGGGAATTTGTTTTGAAAGAAAATAGGGGCAGCTTTGAAAACAATGGACTGTAAGAAGAAAAAAGTTGGGAGAGATAGAGGAAGCGAAGCAGCGGGAGGATCTGGGTTTATGTCCGGAGAAGATTAGATTAGGGTTAACTGTATGGGGCGAGGTGTATTTTGTAGTAAGTGTCTCTTAATTCATGAATGTAATTACAACCTGGATCTTCTGTTTAAGTCTGGAATCTACAGCCTCAGTCCGGGATCTACAGCCTCAGTCCAGGATCTACAGCCTCAGTCCTGGATCTACAGCCTCAGTCCTGGATCTACAGCCTCAGTCCTGGATCTACAGCCTCAGTCCTGGATCTACAGCCTCAGTCCAGGATCTACAGCCTCAGTCCTGGATCTACAGCCTCAGTCCAGGATCTACAGCCTCAGTCCTGGATCTACAGCCTCAGTGCTGGATCTACAGCCTCAGTCCTGGATCTACAGCCTCAGTCCTGGATCTACAGCCTCAGTCCAGGATCTACAGCCTCAGTCCTGGATCTACAGCCTCAGTCCAGGATCTACAGCCTCAGTCCTGGATCTACAGCCTCAGTCCAGGATCTACAGCCTCAGTCCAGGATCTACAGCCTCAGCCCTGGATCTACAGCCTCAGTCCAGGATCTACAGCCTCAGTCCTGGATCTACAGCCTCAGTGCTGGATCTACAGCCTCAGTCCAGGATCTACAGCCTCAGTCCTGGATCTACAGCCTCAGTCCAGGATCTACAGCCTCAGTCCTGGATCTACAGCCTCAGTGCTGGATCTACAGCCTCAGTGCTGGACCTACAGCCTCAGTCCTGGATCTACAGCCTCAGTGCTGGATCTACAGCCTCAGTCCTGGATCTACAGCCTCAGTCCTGGATCTACAGCCTCAGTGCTGGATCTACAGCCTCAGTCCAGGATCTACAGCCTCATGCCAGGATCTACAGCCTCAGTCCAGGATCTACAGCCTCAGTCCAGGATCTACAGCCTCAGTGCTCGAGCTACAGCCTCAGTGCTCGAGCTACAGCCTCAGTGCTCGAGCTACAGCCTCAGTGCTCGAGCTACAGCCTCAGTCCTGGATCTACAGCCTCAGTCCTGGATCTACAGCCTCAGTCCAGGATCTACAGCCTCAGTCCTAGATCTACAGCCTCAGTCCTGGATCTACAGCCTCAGTCCAGGATCTACAGCCTCAGTCCAGGATCTACAGCCTCAGTCCAGGATCTACAGCCTCAGTGCTGGAGCTACAGCCTCAGTCCTGGATCTACAGCCTCAGTTCTGGACCTACAGCCTCAGTCCTGGATCTACAGCCTCAGTGCTCGAGCTACAGCCTCAGTACTGGATCTACAGCCTCAGTCCAGGATCTACAGCCTCAGTCCAGGATCTACAGCCTCAGTCCAGGATCTACAGCCTCAGTGCTGGATCTACAGCCTCAGTGCTGGAGCTACAGCCTCAGTGCTGGAGCTACAGCCTCAGTGCTGGAGCTACAGCCTCAGCGCTGGATCTACAGCCTCAGTCCTGGATCTTGTGAAAGATCCCAGACATAAGACCAAAAAGAGACTTTGACAAAAACTGCGTAGTTCAAAATAAAGTTTTATTGTCAGAAGGTTTGAGCGTAGTCTGATCAAGCACAACGCAGCTTCCCGTCAGAAGTCTGTCTGCAGAAGTCTGGATGTTGAGATGAAGAGTGGCTACTTATATACACTTTAAATGATTAGGTAAGCATAGACTTTGGTAGCATGACTATGCAGAAGAGAGCGTATGGTTTCAATGTTCAACTATGATATAACTATGTTTTCGTAATGGACCAAACTCCAATGTACATGAGATAGCACCATCTCATGCTCTGCACATGTTCAGTGTTTGTTCTGTACACACACTTTATCTGCTTTATGCCTTTGTAAGCAGTTCAAAGTACAAGTGTTTCTTTTAAACTCTATTTGAACTGTTTAACATGATATTTTAGCAGGCAGATAATAATTAAATATTCACAATCTACAGCCTCAGTCCTGGATCTACAGCCTCAGTGCTGGATCTATAGCCTCAGTCCTGAATCTACAGCCTCAGTGCTGGAGCTACAGCCTCAGTCCAGGATCTACAGCCTCAGTGCTGGAGCTACAGCCTCAGTCCAGGATCTACAGCCTCAGTGCTGGATCGACGACCTGCCCGTCTGTGGAAGTTCCAATATGGAACTCCCAAAAGGTTTCTCACAATTTTCCCACAGTTTTTCCGGGTTTTTTTTGTTCCTTGCCGATGCAGGAGGGTTTAAGGACAGTGATAATCCAGACGTTTGAGGACATTTATTAACATTTACCAACTGTGGTAATCCCACTCCCTATGGTCCAGTGGCTCCTATGTGTTTTTAATATTGCATTTCTTGTGTTCTAGCTGAAGTTTTTATTTTAGCCAAAACACAATGTGGTGCACGTGCAATGTACTGAATGAGTAAAAAAAATTATGTGGGAAATCAAAACCGTGAATGTAACACACATGTTGCACAAACTCTGGTGTGTTGTAAAATGGGGAGGGGATCTAAATGTACTCAAATGAAATGATTGTTACGCTGCATGGATCCATTCAAAAAAAGCCGTGTGTGTCTATCCTTGTCCACGGTGGAATGTGGCGGTGTAACATGTACACACACATAGAAAGGTCATTGCAGGGTCCATAACATCAGCCTATTTTAACATAACCACGCTGCACCGCCACATTCTGTTTATGAGCACTCATTATAAATCGCACAATCTCCACAGGTCATGGAAAAGTCAAGGGTGGAGTCTCCAACTTGGGCAGCCGAGTTGGAAAATAATAAGTTTTCCTGCCTTCCACATTCTTCGTCTTGGAATTACATCATTAAATCATTACTGCAGTTTTATACATACTGCTCTTTCCTCCATTATTTGCTGCACATACTAGAATAAGATTAAGAGATCCTTCGTTCATCCCACTGTGGGGAATTTTCAGTGTTGCATCACCAGTTACAGAACAGTAGGAATGAGGAGCACACAGCACAAGCTAAAAGAACAATAACTCTAAATATACTAAAAAAGATAAAATAGAAAATCTCTAATTCTCGCATGAAGAAGAAACAAGTATATAATCTAGTACAGTAAAAAGTACTGTGTGTTCTAGTGCGAGTAATATTTGTATGCAACCATTTGGTTGCCTTTCAACCAACTGCTTTTGCTGTATTTCATGTTATATCCACCAGTCTGAGCTCTTAGTAAAAGTTAGTTAAAGGAGCAGTATGTAAAAATCTGGCCTAAAGTGGTACTGCACTCTTCCTGACGCAGGTTGCCAGACATGCAGACGAAACCTGCTGGAACCATAATATCTGAATAAAGATTTTTGTCGACAACAAATCTATAACAAACACCTTTTTCACAAAGATAGAAATCCTGGTTTTATTCCTTG